TAATGAGCATAAGAACGAGTAGAGGCGTCGGCTGTCGTCCACTCAATCAATTAGCATTTTAATTTAAAGGCACTAGACTCACCTTGTGTGGTTGATTGTTCAATAAATCACTGAACTATACATGTTTAACACATCTCTCATCCTGTACACAGAGGACAGAAAAAAATGTTTATATGCTGGTTAGCATTGTAAATGTGTGGCTTCGTCTGTAGTAAATAATAACAATAATGAATGGTCTACATGTTGGGTGAAGAAGCCTTGTTAGCAGCAACAGAACTTTCAAAGAAGTACTTCAGTGAGATACATCTTTTAACACACATTTACTTTGGTTTTCTGCCCTGAATTCTCACGAAAAATGGAGTTTGTGATCACACAGATCACATAAAAAAAGTCTGTGATCATATCACGTTTATTTAACAATAGCTACAAACGTAGCAAATGTAGTGAAGCAAAACAATCACCAATAAAAGCAGGGCCCAGGAGCTGGAACACTATGTAGCAAACGAGTTTCTTTGGGTCCAATGTGAAGTCAAGTCAGGCTGGATTGAACACCGTTCAACGCTGTCAGATTCCACTACCCAAACGCACACACTTTCCATCTTATGAAAAAGTCCCACCGAAACCAAAAAAAAATATCCATGAAATCCACTTAACTTTTCAAACGCCTTGATATCTAAACATAGTTGGGCCAAATATGGATATTAAAACACGATACGTTAAACAATATACGAAAACAGAACGCGTTTCTTACCTGTTTATCTCCAATCATGCGGACAGAGCAGGGAAGGAAGGCGGTGTAGCCGAGCTGAGCCTTGACGTTGACCATGGTGTTGTTCTCCACGCCCACCCACGCCCCGGACTCTGTGGGCGAGGGGGAACCTACTATCATTCTTAGCGTCTGTAGTGGACGGGAAGAGGAAGGCCCATTAGCCTTAATTCTGTCAGCACGGGAGAACATTGCCTCACAGTACCTGAAGTGTACAGGCGTTGGTAGCACTGTTGCATAATGGGTTCTCTGAGAGACGTGTCACGTACTTTGAGAGAGAGAGAAAGAGAGTAACTGACAGACAGACACACAGAAACAGACAGACAGATAGAGAAAGACAGAATAATTGGTAGCAATGCAACAAAATAATAGTATGATAATATAATATTGCAATTATTTTACTAATAATGCCTCAGTGCCATTATCAAATAATGCTAATAATCGATTGTTCGATCGCTGCTAAGATGTAGTTGTGTAGCATATGCCTGTAAAACACACACACACACACACGCAGAGTATGCCACCTCATCATGGAGTGTGAGAGTAGTTAATAAATGGAATGCACTAGGAAGTGATGTGGTGGAGGCTGACTCCATACACAGTTTCAAATGTAGATATGGTAGAGCCCAGTAGGCTCAGGAACCTGTACACCAGTTGATTGACAGTTGAGAGGCGGGACCAAAGAGCCAAAGCTCAACCCCCGCAAGCACAAATAGGTGAGTACCCACACACACACACACACACACACACACACACACACACACACACACACACACACACACACACACACACACACACACACACACAGGGCTCTTCCAAGAAAGTCTTCACGCCAAACAATTCCTAAATGCCAGTGACTTCCAGCAGGATTGTCTGCAGCAGGCAGGAATGAGCTCATTTTCAGAGGTACGGATGAAATTAATTTGGATTAGCTGGAGTAAATGCCCAGAAAGTTGTGAGCTGAGGTACAACCACCAGACCGGAGGGTCGTGCCCGTACGACCCATACTGCGCTAACACCATGGTCATACACGCTATACAACACGAGACGAAGCAAGATAATATATATAAATATAGAATAAAAGATTGACGCTTTACCAACCTTCTAAATAGAATTTAATATTTACCAGACACTAGATAAATTAAGAAGACTCTTTATGTGGGGACCGACCTGTGAGATTTATATTTATTTAATTTATATGAATTTATATAGTGTTTATATTTGTTAATTTATATATTTCGATAGCTATTTGTATGATGTTTAGCGGACTGTATTTCTGCAAAATTCTCACAAATTGAGTCCTTGCACATTAGGGGAGGTTTATATTGAATTTATATATATGCATCCAATCAAACTACAGTATTAAACTACATATATTAGTAATGATAATTGAGGTCTTATCTTATTGTACTTATAGTTTATACCTGGTGGCTTAGTCCACCAGGTATAAACAAAGATGACTACAACAGCTATATCAGAGGAAATACTGTATATTATATAAGATAAGGACCAAGGAATAATTACCTGGGTTTAGTGGCTTGCTCGTGACCTAACCGGTTCACCCTACATCTACCTAACATTAACTGGCCAAAAATGTGGTAATAAACGGGTTTCAGTAAGACACTTCCCTTGTTTGGATGTTGACTGCGTGTTGATGATGGAAGAAGCACTAATTTGATCTCCATGACACATCGTCCAAAGGAAGAATTATAGGAGCTGAACTTGCCTGCTACTATGTTCTTAAACAATGGCTGACCTCCCTCCCCCCTACGCCCTGGCTCTTTTGTCAAGATGTCAACAAATGGTAGACAGGTCACATTTATTCTATTTTGGTACTGATAATTAAGTTAGTTCAATTGATGTTTTAATGATAAAAGTCCGAAGACTGCTGTATTAAGAATAATTCCCAACATAATAGCTGGCGAATTTAATAGCGACGTGACAATGATATCCAGTTTTCAATTCACGGAAAATTCCACTTCAGGCTACATTTTCTATGGGATAACTCGTAAATACAACAGCATCAATATTATCTGCTTATTGTATTTAATATTAGTAAATGGTGTCGGGTTTTCCGACACTTTACAACTATGATGTGTTGTAGTGTTTACACAAGCAACACCGACTAGGAAAACAAACTACACACATCGTAGGAAAACATACTTCACACATCATATACTACACACATCATGTAAGTGTTGAACACCGTCAACAGGCATGAAGTTAACGGCAAGCTTTTGCCTCATTTCCTTGGTATTTAAACAGAGAAAAAAGTAAACGCCCTGTTGTTGTATTTGACTGTTTACCGTCACTTGGTCTTGAGATATTCCTGGTGGTGAGAGAGTCCTTGTTCAGATGTTCAGGAGAACATCATCATGGTGAGTGTCTGTTGCGACGCCAGCAGTATATGTAGCAAGAGTGCCACTTGCATCACTACCACCACCACCAAACTCATCAGCGTCACCACCACCAAACTCATCAATCACCATCACCAGGAATATCATCACAAGAAGCACAATCATCACCACCACCACAGCAGCATCAACAAAAGCAGCACCAACAGATTATATTTTAGCAATATTGTTGTGCTGATATCAGCAGCTTTACATTAACTTTAGTATGATTGTTCATCCACAATCTTTTTCGCGATGTTTCTGTTTGTCTAATATTACCGTACTTTCCTTGGCTTGGTTTCCACTCCTCTCTTATCTGTGGTTTCTCCTCTCTTGTGCTTCCTTTCTCCTCTCTTCTCTTGTGCTTACTTTCTCCACTCTTGTGCTTGCTTTCTCCACTCTTGTGCTTGCTTTCACCTCTCTTGTGCTTGGGAACTGTAAGATATGTCACTGCCTATAACTGTAAGATATGCCACTGTCTGTAACTGTAAGATTTGCCACTGCCTGTAACTGTACGATACCCGTCCCCGCCTGTAACTGTACGACATCTATCACTGCCATATTTACAGTTCGCCACAGAACTCCCAAAAATGTAGAGAACGCCTCGAAGCTTAGGATTACCCCCAAGCTGCGGTACTGAATAATTGAAGCGTGATATTCAGCAGTGAGCATATGTAAGCTTCGATCCGCTCAAGTGAAGGCGTTTGTGTTCCTCTGGACGAACCACGGACCGTCTTCACGTAATGTTGTCATTTTATTTATTTTATGCGCCTCATACCCATTGTGTGGGGCGATGGTGGACCCTATACCCATCCCGTGGGCGGTGGTGGACCCCCATACCCATCCCGTGGGCGGTGGTGGACCCCATATTCATCCCGTGGGGGGTGGGGGACCCCATACCCATCCCGTGGGCGGTGGTGGACCCCATACCCATCCCGTGGGCAGTGGTGGACCCCATACCCATCCCGTGGGCGGTGGTGGACCCTATACCCATCCCGTGGGCGGTGGTGGACCCTATACCCATCCCGTGGGCGGTGGTGGACCCTATACCCATCCCGTGGGCGGTGGTGGACCCTATACCCATCCCGTGGGCGGTGGTGGACCCTATACCCATCCCGTGGGCGGTGGTGGACTCCATACCCATCCCGTGGGGGGTGGGGGACCCAATACCTATCCCGTGGGCAGTGGGGGACCCTATACCCATCCCGTGGGCAGTGGGGGACCCCATACCCATCCCATGGGCGGTGGGGGACCCCATTCCCATCCCGTGGGTGGGGGGGTCCACCTTGGTTGGTGGGTTGCTTGGGATGGTACGTTGCTGGTTAAAGTAGGATGTTGGATTTGTTACGTAGTGGGTAGACACTAGACGAAGACAGCTACTGACGGTCGAGAGGCGGGGCTTAAGAGTTGACGCTCGGCCCTATAAGCATATCTAGGGGAGGACATCTAGGTGAGTGTACACGCATTTACTTACAAGCATGTGCACACGCATTCATATGTGCACACGCATTCATATGTGCACACAAACATAAGCAAACACAGACAAGGGAGATACGAAAACGTACAGAACTCAGAACGGCCAAACCTGGACTCGTGTACTTGACTCTGAGGAGAGCAACAAGTAAGAGGAGCTCTCAGGAGGCATTACAGCAGGAGTCAACATCTCCCCGGAAACGTAGCGAGACACACACACACACACACACACGCACGCACGCACGCACGCACGCGCGCGCGCACACACACACACACACACACACACACACACACACACACACACACACACACATACACACACACACACCTCAAAGCCATTCACATGACCAAGTACAACTCTGAGACATTCCCACAAAAGCTCGCATTCATATTTATGGTTGGCATTCATGGTTATTGCTGCACACATATATATATATATTGTGTGAAGAACAGGGTCACAAACTGTGTTTCTTGTTAGTGTTATATATATATATGTATAGTGTAAGCAGAGTGGCGCTGAGTGTGTCCCTTCTCACTTTGAAGTGCACCCGCATGAATATCACACCCTGGACCCTTTGGGCGTCCCTACTAGGGTGTGTGGCTCAGACAAACGACTTCTGCATAGGGGACCATATTGTGGTGGAGGCATAGAAAACGCCCTCTGGAGGGCGAATCCTCGTCACGGCCCTTGTGGATTTGATCCCTCTGGAGAATTTCTTGAAGATTTCAATTATATCATATGATATATTGTAATCATATTTTCTAGGCATTAACGATGTACATATGTAATTATTAATCACCAGGTAGATACAACTTGTCAATTACTGTTCGAAATCATTTCTGCTGCTCAGCGGTTGGGAGAGTGGCCCTGATACAAGAGTCATTTCCATTCTGTACCTCGACACTGAGGCGCTGAAACAGAAAATGCTATTGGTCTCTGGTTTCGCTAATGAGTTCTAGTGATTCACGATATCGTTTACGTGTTCTGGGAACATCTCTTCAACCAAGTCAATAATACAGGAGGAAATATGTAGACAATGCTCTCAGCAACCAGGAGGCCTGGTCGACGACCGGGCCGCGGGGACGCTGAGCCCCGGAAGCACCTCAAGGTAACCTCAAGGTAAGGTAAGGTAGCGCTGTCTTTGTATACCTGTCAGCGAGTCTAACTGGAAGTGCTGCTTGGCCCTCAGTGCCAGTCTTCCAGGAAGAGGCTTAACGCTTTCATTTAT